CTCGCCGATGACCAAATTCTCAAGATCATTCATGTAATTATAAAGAAGATTGCATAATAGGCATTATACATAATTCTAATAATATCAGCTTGTACCCAAGTCTATATTATATGTGTCATTCTCCAAACTTCAAGAATCTTTGTACATGAGTATTTTTTGATCTTTGTATTTGTATTTTCTGGGTCTTGTAAAACCTTAATACAAAAATCAAAGTCTTTACATATTATGAAGATTTTATATCAACTTTTAGATTTATTGCTAAGATATTGGGAAAGCAATTCTTCGAATACATTATAAGGTAAAATGAATGATCTTGAGAATTTGGTCATCGGCTAAAGAGTATAAAAACAAATAAGTGAATTAAAAAAAAGAAAATAATAAAATATTTGCATTTTATCTTGATAATTTATCATGATTATATATACTAACGAAATTATTTTGGGTTTTAGAGTATGAAATTAAAATTTGAAAATAAAATTGTTTTTGACCTATTTTACTTAAAAGATGAAATTTTTTGACATTTTTTTTGAAGAGACGAAATTATAAGGAACTTAACTACCTAAATTAGATTTGCTCTTGCATATAAAAAATTCTAAATTGCTCTAATAGAGATGAAATAAGATTTTTTTGAAAATCTATTTCGGTAGCATGTATAATCATGATGATATAATGCAATTTATTTGACTACCATTATAGTGATCATGTTGAATTTAAAATTAAGTTGCTATTAAATTTACTGATTATTACAGTATTGAATTTAGAATCAACTTAAGTTGCTTTTAACTTTTATATCAACTTGGACTATATTTGAAATTCTATTTTAATATAAGTTGATTCTAGATTTACAATAATTCTATTCTGACGTACAACATATATATTTAAAAGAATTACCTTTTTACCATTGGTAATTTTTGCTTACCAAAAAAATTTCTTTATTATAATAAATAAATATAAATATCATTAAGTTGCTTTTTTTAAAAATAAATATAATATAAGTAGTAATCATAATATTTGTAATCATTTTACAAAATTGAATCAGTTTTTGCAATGTGTTTGAATTGTCAATTATAATAAGTGTTAGTTTATAGATTGTATATTGTATTAATAAAGTTTGAATTTATTAATAATAAATACTGCTTTTATATTACTTTACATGTCTATCTATTCTTTATATATATAAAATTATATAATTCTTTTATATTTATAATTGGCCAATAGCAACAATCAAAAATTTGGCAAAATTACTCAAATTTTTACTAATAAAATCATGATCATCTGTTAAGCGAAATATGTTTCTAGACTAATTTTACTATTACACAAATTAAAATCTTAAAAATTTTTCTATTTTGCAATTAAAAAAATTAAAAAATTAAAATTTAGCCAAAATCATATATAATATAGCCAGAATTTTGTCAATTACAACTGTTGGCTAATCAAAATCAAGAATTAACTATGGCATCTAGGTTTAATGACCCTATATGAGAACTGTATATGATATGCAAGATTTTTAAAAAAACTATGAGTTGCTTATTTCTAATTATATCCCTTAGATCAGGAATATAAAAAAAATAAAGAAACTAAACAAAATAAACAAAATAAGAAAATAAAACATGGGGGTGTGATTATTATAGTAATAATGAATATTCTTTTTGTTCAGGAAGTTGTGAGCCATATTATTTCTTATATTATCTTGGAAATACTACTGGTAATACAGTTTGATGCTATCTAAATTTTAGAAATAGCATAGTATTTTATACTAAAAAGAAAATAAACTTAGGTAACCAATATTTAGAAATTAAAATTTATATTTCTTAAAGCAAATAATAGAAATTTAATAATTATTGTCACAGCTAATGATGAAATTTGAACCAAGTTTGATATGAAAATTTAAAATTTTTTGGGGTATTTTTGTTCACTTTTTTTTTAGAGTTAGGTTAGAATTTAGGGTTAGAATTGATAATTCAAGAGTATATGTGAATTTTAGTAGGGTTTATATTTTCAAATCAAGACTCCAAATTTCAGCATTAGCCGTTTTCAGCATCGGCTGCAACAATTATAAATATTTTAAGGAATCTAAATAGCAATTTCAAAGAGGTTCTATATTCTTGTGTTGGATTTACCATTGGCTACTGCCTACAGTATCCCCCAAAATAATATCCCCCATGGTTAAGACCTGGGTATTATTCACCATCCCTACTGGCTTGTTACTTGAATAAGACCCGGGTACAACTATATTGATTTACCACTTTTAATATGTTATATCCCCAAATATAGTACCCGGTTCTTCACACAGTGCCCATGGGTATTATTCAATTTTAAAAATAGAGTTCTTGAATAAGACCCTGGGTACTGTGGGCAGTAAAAGTGAACTTTGGCAACGAAAAATTTAAATATTTTGGTAAATTTATTCAATGAGTATAATGTTTGTGGCTTATATAGAATTTAATCTTGTTTATATATATCTGCAATAACTGATGAAGGCATTAATAAAAATCGAATGATGTATTAGGATTGAAATATCAAGAAAAGGCTTACTTTGTTATGGGTGGATATGAAAATATGCTTGTTAATTTAATCGATGAATTAACAAAATCACTCGAAAATGAACTAAATAACGCATTTGAATTAAGTTACCAAGGAAAAATATTTTTTATTATGGGCAAATATGATGAAGCATTTGAAGATTTAACTAGATCGCTCAGATAATACAATAACTTTAAGATATCGAGGTGAAATTAATTATATGATGAAAAGATATAATGAATCAATTGATGACTTGAAGAAATTATTAAAAATTAAACCTAAAGATACATGGGCAACGGAGGCATGTAAATTAGTTAAAGGGCTGTAAGTATAATATGCACTTGTAATTTTGACAACTTAAAGGTAAATAATTATTTGGCCGCCATTTATGCCTCCACAATAGCCTGTAAGCACAGTAACTGATTTTTTTTACAGAAAATCACTATAGAAATCACGCTCATTTCAATACAAAATTAATATAGGGAAAATCGATGATTTTTTAAATCTATTGCGCAGGCCTGCATTATAATAATTTACTGCCAATGCGGGCCAGCATTGTTAAATTCCGAAATATTCCGAACTTTCGAAATATTCCGCCTGCGCAGTATCCCATAACCATATCTAAATTACTCGTATCACCATAGCTCGTATGATAATCAAATTTTTTGCAGTAAATCACTATAGAAAGCATGTTTATTCCAATACAAACTAACATAAACATATCTAAATCACTTATATTACCATAGCTCGTAAGTATGATAATCTAATTTTTTACAGTAAATCACTATAGATTGCAATACAAACCTAACATAACCATATCTAAATCACTTGTATCTCCATAGTTCATAAGTATAAAAATCGAATTTTTGCAGTAAATCACGTTTATTTAAACTAACATAACCATATTTAAATCACTAGTATCACCATAGCTCGTAAGTATGATAATCGAATTTTTATAGTAAATCACTATAAAATCACGTTTATTCCAATACAAAACTAATATATCTATATCCAAATCATTTGTATCACTACAATAGTCAGTAAGAATTTTTTACTATAGAAACCACGTTCATTCTAATACAAAACTAGCATAACCATATCTAAATCACTTGTATCACCACAATAGTCTGTAAGAATTTTTACAGTAAATCACTATAGAAACCACGTTCATTCCAATACAAATTTAACATAACCACATCTAAATCACTTGTATTATTACAATAATCGGTACAGTTATGGTTGTTAATGACTCTAGCTGTAGTTTCTGTTTCCTGTTCGGTGGTGGTAGCTCTAGCTGTAGTTTCTTGTTCAGTGGTAGTAGCTCTAGCTGTAGTTTCTGTTTCTTGTTCGGTGGTGGTAGCTCTGGCTGTAGTTTCTTGTTCTGTGGTGGTAGCTCTAGCTGTAGATTCTGGTTCTGTTTCTTGTTCGGTAGTAGTAGCTCTAGCTGTAGTTTCCAGTTCGGTAGTGGTAGCGAGTGGTATACTCTGGAGCAACTCCGGAGTGAAGTTGGAGCGGGTAAAAATATGCTGAAGTGAAATTGGAGTAAACTGAAGCAGCTCTAAACAAATCTGAAGTGACTCCAGAGTGAGCCCAAACCAAATTGGAGTGAGTTAAGGAATAGCTCAACCCAACCCACCCAACAACCCTAGGTACAGTAAATTACTATATAAATCACATTCATTCCAATACAAAACTAACATAACCATGTCTAAATCACTTGTATCATCACAATAGTCTGTAAGAATTTTTTAC